CACTGCATTGATCAAACCCGCTACAGCATATAATAGGAAATGTCTGGTCTTGGGTGTCCAGTCCTCACTTTTGTTGTGGAAATTTGAAACAAAGGCTGTGAAATACTGAAATGGTTTGAAATGTTTTATTGTGTGCAGTGGTTACATCACACATCAGGGAGATCTGCAGAGAAAAAAAGAAATCAAACAAATCACAAAATTGAAAACAGAAACACTTACAAAAAAATTTTAATACCTATCACAGTCTACACTGAAATACTGAAGATTCTGGAGCATAGCAAATACATTATTATATCGACATATTAACATTACCTACCATTTGAATAGTGCCCCTTCCTTCCTCATCTGCCTTTCGATCCCCCGACAAAACTCCTCCACTTCACTGTAAAGGTAAACAGACAACATAATAATAATAATAATACTGGGATAGCAGAAGCATCAATAATACTCAGAAATTACTGCTTCTCTCCTCTTACCTTATAGACAAAAACACATTTCTGATCTTCTGCGCTGGATGAGCTTAATTTCTGTCCACAAAATCTCGCAAGAACAAAAACAGTTTGAGGTGAAAACATGCTCCATAGATTCAGACAGAAAGGCTATCCCGAATCATGCCTTCACTCAGCGTTGGAGACTGTAAACAAAACTGAAAGGAAAACGCCATTTACCAAGACAAAGAAGCAGAACAAAGTACATTCTACAAATTACATCCTTACATACAACCCTCTCAGCTCTGTGATCAAATCTACTGTCTTGAAACACTGGCACATTTTATCATCTGACAGAGCGCTAAATAACACGTTTCAATACCCACCTCTATTCACCTACAAAAGAGCCACTAGTTTGAGAGACCGTTTAGTGAAGGCTGATTCTTATCCTGCTAGACCTAAACCATTTATTTGTGGTAGTTTCCCTTGTAGATCTTGCACTTCGTGCAACACATCTCATGTCAACTGTTTTGCCCATGTAGGAAATACTATATAGGTCAGACAGAACGCAAATTAAAAATCAGGCTGAATGAACATAGAAGCAGCATTAAGCAAGCGGACATGACATCCCTGTAGCACGCCACTTCCGTGAACATGGACACAGGGTTAAAGATCTCAAATGTATCGGCACTGAGAAGGTGGTGTTGAACCGTAGAGGTGGCGACCAGGAAAAAAGACTCTTACAACGTGAATGTGCCTGGATCCACAAACTGAAAACTCTTTTTCCATCTGGCATGAACGAGGATTTCAATATGTGCCCTTTTTTGTAACAGTTGACACAAACTTGCCTCCATGTTTCTCTCCACCCATGTCATTAAAAGAAATTAAAAAAATTAAAAATGAAATCTTTTTTAGGAAATTCTGATCGATTTTTCGAAGATTGGTTTTTCTAAGGAACCTTACATCTATAAATATGAATACAAATTACAACTGACATTTAGAGTTTCCCAGACGGGTTATATGGAGTCTATGTTGGGAACCTTAGTATGTCCAAATTGTGATAAACTGTATATTTAATCAACTTTTACCTGTCCTGATGTATGAACGGTAGTTGTACCTGATGTTTTCAGTAACAGTTGGAGTTGTTGATAGACATGTTTTTTAACTTAGCACATATGTATGTGATATGGGATTGTCTGTTTATTGTCTTTTGTTTTTCAAGACATTGTGTGAAGCATGTACCATCTTACATGCCACTCTAGGGTCTGTGTTGGTGATTGTTGATTGAACACAGCTGATCTGCAGACTCCACTGCAGCTGTTAAATCAGTACATGCACTACTAGTCCTGTAACTCACACTGATGAAGGCCGGACGTCCGAAAGCACTTTGTCCTTTAAAAATGCTTGAAAGGCCTCATTAAAATCTTTTTACCTGCTGACGGACATATCTGTGTGCGATCCTCAAACTGTTTTTGTTCTTGCTGGATATTTATTTGGACTACGCACCAGGAGGGTCAGAGTGCAGTGGTAATTTTTGAACGATAATTGTCCACAAAATCTCTAAATATATGCTATAGAGTAATATCAATGTAGTGATATAAACACACGTGATATATAATATTATGAATAATAAAGGAAAAATTTGTGTAGGTGTATTACATGATATACATGAATACAAAATTAACTTTTAGCATAAAGTACATTAATTGCCAATATGTATACAGTTTCATGCTTGTATGAAAACGTAAGCCTATACATGTTTTTCTCATATCATCCACTTCATTGCTTTAATCATTTATTCATGTTTAATTTAAAGCACATGACGAAATTATTCGTCATTGCACTTCGGTTTCATGAAACAAAATGTGCAAGTCAAACAGTTTATTGCTAACAAGCTAAACTATTACCTACTACTTTAACCCATATTTGACGTGTCTTTCAGATTATCGTGGTAAATACAGTCATATCATTTTAAACTTATCACTGTTAATCATTAATTTCGCTTTCTAATTCAAGTCAACAAAATAGTTTGATGGCATTAAACAAATAATGTGATTCACATTCAATACTCACACTCGGATCGTTGTCGTCCATATTCAATAGTTGTAATAGTATGTTGGCTTCCAATGAAATAGAGGGCGCTGTTGCGAAATACAAGGGCTCTAGAACTGCGGGTCCAGATCTGCAGGTCTGAATCTGCAGACACACCCTCCTCAGTTAACAAAGCATATGAATATTAATGAAGGAGCGCCCACTGAGTGCAGCTTCTTTTATTGATCGTTTGAACGTCGCGTGGTGGTCATTTTCGATTAAAGGCCGACGTCTCAGCGACGTCTTGGCAATGAGCAAACGCTCTCGCTGCTACGTCTTAATGATCTAAACTTGACGTCGGCCAGATGTATGTGTGCTATCTGGGAACAGTTGTCCAAAAAACTTTCTTCTATTTCTGACATATTTTTCATATAAAAAAAAGCACTTCTACTGATCCATAAAAATGTTGATGTGCTCTTTATTACTTGTAACTTTATCATAAAGTCTGCAGTGTTTTTGTTCCTGTCAGGACTCTATCAGACTGACTGATCAGTAGCTGGGCTGTCTGATCTGATCCCCTGAACTGAACCTGCTCAGGTGCGTACGTCACTGCGGTGGCTGGCCCCGGTTTAAGGTGACGAAGGCTGAGTTCAGATGAATGAAAACTGTACGTGTTTATCTGATGCACTTAAAAGATTAAGATGCCAGTGTCCTCGCCTGACTTTACTGTCTTTCAGACAGCCTGAGTTTTAAAGCTAGAGTGAAGATACTGGCAACACATGAAACTAGAAGATCTGGGGAGTAGTGCTACCAACTGTGCCATGCTAGCTTGTTGGGATGGGGTCCAAATAATGCTCCAAAAACTGGCGTGGCCATTTTCACAAGGGGTCCTTGACATCTCACGTCAGGATATCTGAATGAAAAAGGGGTCCTATGGGTACCAACGAGTCTCTTCTTCACAGACATGCCCACTTTATTTTTGGCAATGAAATAGAATGCAGGGTTTTTTGCATGCAGTATAGATGTGGTATTTTCACCGACTGTATTTGGAATATTTCTGCATACTGGGGTGCCTAATCAGGGAAGCTAGCTCGCTAAATGTTTTTAAAAGAAAGCTAAACACATATCTGTTCACTTTATAGCCTTTAACTCACTCTGACTTTCCCGATACAGTTCTCTCTTTCTGTTTATGCTTCACACTGCTGCAACTCTTTTAAAATCGCACTTGATTTTATGATTTATAGTTTTATAACTCAGTGCTTATACTGCTCCTATTTCAGAAGCACTTTGTGCTGCATTTCTTGTGTGAAAGGTGCTATAAAAAATAAAGTTTATTATTATTTCGTAAAATAAAAAGAGAGAAAAAAAGTTTGACTTTTTGTGGACATGTATAGCAAACTTTCTTTCTTTTTTTTTGAATCATTCGTTTTTGAAGACAGGTTTATTTCCAAGATGGTAATCTGATTCACTTGCAAGAGCCTGCTCTCTCTACGGGCCCCTCCACCCCAGGGGACGCTGCTCTTCAGTCTGAGGCCCAGCGTCACTCAACACCTTTAGAGGAAAATTGATTTCTTGTGTTAGTCTGACTAAAACCGGACTTTTAAAATACATATAAACATGTTAGTCTGACTGAAATCTTACCAAATTGACTAACACTCACAGATAATGTGACTGGGAATCGAACTACTCCTCTATGTATTCAGTCAATCATGCTCCATAGTTTCCCCCAGGGCTTTGACCCAAAAGAGGAAAGCATTAAATGCATAATAGAAGAAGAAGAAGCCTGTAACAATTTGGAGAGTGATATTTGCTGGTGAAATTCAACAATGATGAAATCATCTTACTGCAGATTCAAGTGTAAAACTCACTCATTAAGAGTCTCGTAAAAGAAAAGTCTCATGACTGAGGACGTCATTCTTTTTTCTGCATGAAAAGTGTCGACATCTCTTTTGATTCATGTTTAGTGCTTTATTGTAAATGGAGTCAAAGGAGCTTCACAGCAGCTTCATCATGGCAACTCTGTGCTTACAAGTTCAAGATGTTTACCGCTTATCATCATCATCATCATCACCATTATCATCATCATCAAACAAAGTGCTGAGCTGTTTAACCCACAGAATGAGAGAGGGCGGAGAGAAAGGAAAGATCAAATTGGGCAACTTTGGCTTCTTGACTGATCCGACGGACCGACAGCGGAAGGAGTGAAGTGACAGAGACAGTTCGCCAGCAGGATCAAATTCAGAATGAATATCCATCATGTTGTCGTCTTCTGCTTCTTATCAGGTGAGTTTGTGTCATAATTACTTGATGCTAAGGGTTGTTTTTGATATTAGAAAGTACGGAGGCTGTAAAAAGCAACACGCATTAAAGATATTACCCAGAGGCGTCGAAATACTGCAACCACTGAAGTACAACAACAGCAGCTGTAGAGTAAAAGCTAAACTGTACTGCCTCTGTATCATCTCTGCTTCTCTGTGAAGTGATGGATTAGCCTTCATTAACCTGCAGTCTGTTTCACAGTATTTGAAAGAAAGTACTAACCATTAATGTCCATGTTTCCAGCAGCAGCACTGTGTGGTGGGAACACTGGGCTCGTCAGCGCCAAACTCATCATTTACACAGGAGCTGAAGGAGGAACTAGTTCAATTAGTTGCCACTTGACTCTGACTGGAAACATGAAGTTCTTCTGTAGGGACGAATGTAAAGGAGAGGATATTCTCATTAGAACAGATGATGTCACAGCTCAGAACGGCAGATACAGCATTGCATACAGCAACGGATCTTCTGGAATAGGAATTCTGACTGTGACCATCACACGTCTGACCAAGTCTGATGCAGGACGGTACAGGTGTGGTTTAGGCAAAACTTCAGCTCCAGATTCATACCAGGAATTTGGACTCAGAGTTTCAGACAGTGAGTTTCTACATTAAGTTATTAAACCTGATTTATTCACTATATTCTCCATATTTAGCATCATCTTTATGAAGCGTAGGAATAATTACGATACAGATTAATATTTGCTGTTTAGCATTCAAAAGCCATAAACTGACAAGTAATGAGTGGTTAGATAAGATATAAATGGTGGATAAACATGAAAAATAACTTTGTTTGAACAGCACAGTTCATACAGCAGGTGCAACTCAAAGTGCATTACATAATACAATGAATAAATGCAGGTAAAAGACAGTATAAGATAGAGTAAATAAGATACAAATACACAATCACATACTCACACACATAAAATATACAAATAAGGAGGTGTCCAGTAGCTCAGCAGGTAGGGCGGGCACCCCATGTACAAAGGCAGTGTCCTTACCGAGGGGTCACAGCCCTCGCTACATGTCATACCCCCCCCACACCTCAAAACTATCCTGTCATTTAATAAAAATGTATTGTTAAATAAAAGCTACAAAAATGCAGGTCTAAAGAGATTTAGAGATAAGAGATAAAGAGGTTTTAAGATTTCATTTGAAGATGTCGACTGAATCAGAGACTCTGACGTCCTCTGGAAGGTTGTTCCAGAGAAGAGGGCCAACGATTCTGAACGCAGCATCATCATGCCTTTTCGTTCTACTCTAGGGGACATTTAATAGACCAGTGGTGGAGGATCTTAGGGATCTGGAGGGAATGTATCTGACCAACATATCAGATAAACAGAGATTTAAAAACTAAAAGCAACATTTTAAAATGAATTTTACAATGAACAGGAAGAGAATGAAGAGCCTTTAAAAGGTTAAGTCTTGGTGAGTAGACGTGGTGCTGCATTTTGGGTCATCTGACGTTTGTTTAAAGATTTCTTCGAGAGGCCTGAGAACAAGATGTTACAGCAGTGAAGTCTGCTTGAGACAAAACTTTTTCGGAGTCTGCTTAATATAAAAGAGGCTGCACACAGGCAAAGTTTCTAAGATGTAAAAATGCATTTTTCGTGATGTTTCTCACTTTGGGTTCGGAACACAGGTCACAGTCAAAGATAACACCAAGGTTTACTTCATGCTTTCTGTTCAGAGCCAGCTTTTGTAAATGAGTATTAAAATGAAATTACTTTTCTTTTTGTACCAATGATTAGAACCTCAGTTTTGTGGTTTTGGGACATCCACTCAATAATTTGGTAAATACAGCATTGCAATTTTCAATTGGGCGGGTATCATCTGAAAAGATATACATCTGAGTATCGTCAGCATAGGAGTGGAAATCAATTTCATATTCACCAATAATATTTCCCAGAGGCAAGGTGTACAGACTGAACAGAGTGGGTCCCAGAATGGACCCCTGGGGCACACCACAACTGACTTCAATTTTAGAAGACGCCGACTCACCCAGGGACGACACATAGTCTCTTCCTGTCAGATAAGACCAGGTTAGAACTGTGCCTGAATTGTTGAGATGGTTATGAAGTTAGCAGTAATAATAATTTATAGTAAGTAATTATAGTAATTAAGTAACAGTATAATATACTTGTAAGCACTTACAATCTGAGATCGTCTATAGTTTTAAATACATATATAAATAGTTTAAAGTCTCTGATCTGTACATGTGGATAAACAGTTTAGACATTATATAATTAAATGTAAAGTTGTTATCAGCCAGTATATATTTATCTATTTTATAAAGGTCTAAAAAAAAAACCCATCTAGTTTAAATTTAAATAAATTCTTAATTAAACACTATCAAATAATTGTAGTAAGCAATTATTAAGCAATTATTTGTATTTCTAAACCTGTGACTTTATAATGTGTTTGTGCAAAGTGTACACAATTAAGCAATTATTGTTTATTATCAAATTATTATCTTTATTATTGTTAATTTTTGTGTCTGGCCATTCCAACGAAGCCCACCCCTTATGGGTCTATTGAGACACATTTAAAGAAAAACATTTTCCGAGTGCCATCACGCTGACACAAAACAAAATAAATAGCAAATATGAAGTTAACAATTCAACACATAAAACTGGCATAGCAAAATTAATACCTAATACAAATGAGGCTAAACACATTGAACAGATAAGTGTTCAGAACAAAGTGTGTGGGAATGCTGTTGTTCTGAATCTCAGCACGGCTGTGATTCGGCCATAGGCACGAGGCCGCAGGCTGTAATATAGCCTTGTGCCTACGACCGAATCACAGCCGCGCTGAGATTCAGAACCACAGCACGACCTCGAATGTGTTATTGCTTTTATACAACCGTTCTACAAGCACTATTTATCAACAGTAAGAAGCTGCAAATCAGAACGGAAGTACAAGTTCAGCTCATGTGAGTGAAGGTAAATACTGTTTAATCTATAATGTATCATTCATTAGTTGATTTTTATTTTGCATTAGTAATCAGAATTTTCAAAGTAACTTAAGCTGTCAAATAAATTTAGTGGAGTAAAAAATACAATTAATTTAGAGGGTATCAACAGTTTCTGTGACCTAAGACCTAATCTATCTATCTGTCTCTAGAACCTCTCTGTTTAACTATTGATTCAGTATCGGACTATGTTTTTGGGTTTTGTTCACAGCTCCAACCACTTCCAAACCAAACTGGACTACTCAACCTTTTTCAACACTGGCCACGTCACCCTCCACACCAACAACAGGTACAGGTACATTACAGTTCATAAGTAATTTCATCCATCCATCCATCCATTTTCATCTGCCTATCTGGGGCCGGGTCGCAGGGGCAGGTGGCTGAGCAAAGTATTTCAGGCTTCCCTCTCCCCCGCAACGTTTTCCAGCTTCTCCTGGGGAATCCCAAGGCGTTCCCAGGCCAGATGCAATACATAATCCATCCAGCGTACTCTGGGTCAGCCCCGGGCCTCCTGCCAGTTGAGCATACTCTGGAAACCTCTATCAGGGGCAAAAACTCTCTCCCAACCGGGAGGGGGCAACCCACAGTTTTCCAGCAGAGAAGCATGGCCTCAGAGGTGCTGACTCTCATCCTGACCACTTCACACTGCGGTGCAAACCGCCCCAGTGGATGCTAGAGGTCATGGTGTGATGAAGCCAACAGAGCCACATCATCTGCAAAAAGCAAACCAGACCCTTTCCTTCCCCCGGCTGCACCTTGAGATCCTGTCCATAAATATCACAGAGTCAGTGACAAGGGACAACCCTGGTACCCTGTCCCTGAATAATCACAGTGAGAGCTGTGCCCACATACTCAGATTCAGATTCATACAACTTTATTAATCCCACCAGGGGCAATTTGTTTGAACAGCTTGCCTTTCACACAAACTATAACAGTAACGTGTAGATAGTAAAAAAAAAAAAAAAAATGTGCCAGTGGAAAAAAGGAATCTATAAATAAATGATAAAAGGTTAATAGGCTGTTTATTACGGAAGGATATTGCATTCACTTGACAAATAAAAAAACAACTGTTTTTCAGAGTAATTTTTTTATTTTTCTGTTTTTCATGGGAATTTTTTTTCTTTTTTTCATAGTAATTTTTTTCTGTTTTTCGTAGTAATTTTTTTTCTTTTTTTTCATAGTAATTTTTTTCTGTTTTTCGGGGTAATTTTTTTCTTTTTTTTCATAGTAATTTTTTCTGTTTTTCGGGGTAATTTTTTTTCTTTTTTCATAGTAATTTTTTTCTGTTTTTCGTGGTATTTTTTTCTTTTTTTTCATAGTAATTTTTTTCTGTTTTTCATGGTATTTTTTTTCTTTTTTTCATGGTAATTTTTTTCTGTTTTTCGGGGTAATTTTTTTTCTTTTTTTGGGGGTAATTTTTTTCTGTTTTTCATGGTATTTTTTTTCTGTTTTCCGTGTTTTTTTTTTTTCTTTTTTCGTGGTACTTTTTTTCTGTTTTTCGTGGTAATTTTTTCAGAGTTAAGAGAGCAATAGAACAACAGACGCTTTCATCTCTTTCTTGAGAGCTCGATATAATGGAAGCAAACATGACCCGCTTGTTTAGTTTAATCCAGTTTTACTTTGTTTTGGGTTGAGACACTGGGAAATACTCTTGTCTTTAAGTCATATAGATGGTGTTATCATTAGTTTGATGACTTTACGCAGGCACCTTATGAGTCACCACATAGCCAGCCTGAATGCATTTCAGATGCATCATCTTGTATCCATGGAGCTTGCCATATGTGTCCAACTGATTCTGGAGAAACACTGCAATGTCCAGCAGATCTGAATTGGCTTTTCGTCTGAACAACCGCAAAGTCTTAAAGTGCCTGCGTAAAGTCGACTGTTGTTCTATTGCTCTCTTAACTCAGAAAAAATACTCAGAAAAACAGAAAAAAAATTACCACGAAAAACAGAAAAATAAAAAAAATACTCCAAAAAATAGAAAAAATTACTCAATAAAACAGATTTTTTTTATTTGTCAAGTGAATGCAATACGCTTCCGTAGTTTATCAATAAAAGAGATAACAGAACTATAAAAAAAAAACCTTACTGAGAATTTAAAAAACAAATTGCAGAGGGAAAAGGTAACAACACCCTGGCAGCGACAGAAAATTCGCCTGCAAGAACACATCCAGAAGAAACTAAACTCGGCGTAAATTAATTTATGTAAAAAAAATCAAAAATATTTTACAGATTACAAGGATGAAACTGGATGTGTACAAGATGCAAATTATTTGCAGTTGTATACATGATGTAAAACATGTCAAATCTTTGACAAGC